TCTGCTGCTCAAATATATATATATATATATATATTTGAGCAGCAGATAGTGATACCGAATGTGTCCTTCGTTTGTCACAAAAGCCCTGGCAACATTTGGACCTCAGGTAGACTCCATTCTGAAGAGTCATTCCAAAGTAAGATCTGGAGATAAAGGTAAAAAAAAAATTACATAGTCGTTAACGAAACATTTATAACTTTTATGAGGCCAAACACTACTTAACTACCTGCCACTGAACAGAGGTCTCTGCTAATTGTGCAAGTCAGGGATATTTGAGATTCTTCATTTTCACAAGTACCAGCGAGTCAACGTTGAAGGGTGTGCACAGACTCTGGTAGTAAAAGTGAAGTGAACTCGTGGCCGTAACCTTCAGGTAGAAATAAGCTAAAAGCCTAGCGTTCCTCGAAGGAATGCATTTCGCCCTCGAGCCTTTCTATCCTGGAGCTTTAAACTGAAATCTTCTTGTGCTGAGAAGGGACAGATCTTTAGCCATTTTGGTCAAACCTTAAAGCACTTGCGCGATATTGTGAGATCCTTTGAGCTGTGTTGGCGCTTAGAGCATATATCATGGGAATGACTATCAGCTACTACACCAACGTACAGCTCAATATCTGTAACGTAGCATACATTTTTGTGTTTTGTAAATTAGTAGGCTGTGCCAGCCACCATGAATCAGGTTGACTCCTAAATCGGATAATTGTTTTCTGAGATGTTTTGCTAACAGACACATGCACAAATGCATGCTCTGTCGCCCACATTTTATGGTTTTAAGGTGATACTTCTGGGCAGTGGTGTCCCTTGTTATCCTCTCACTTACATGGGATCAGTAACGTGGACTTCACTTCTGCCCCGTGTGTAAAACACACCACATCATATAAATATGGCTGAAGACGTGTGTGAGAGCTAAAGAGGCTGTTGTTCATTCGATATCGGTATCAGAAGCACTTACAAGTCCCTTACTGCTGTCCCCCTGTCACACTCAGACATAACACGAGATGTGCTCTAATCCTTCTCTTAAAACCCTGTTTATCTGCTCTCTTCCAGGCGAGGCCGTCCTGACGAATCATCCGAGGTGTCAAGGTAAGGTCCGACTCCCCAGTGGCTCACAGAGAAACAAGCCTTGGTGGGGTTTTTTTTCTCCATCTGGGCAGACACAATCAATGTTTTTAACAAAAACAACAAAAATAAATAAATAAAAATTCTTCTTCAAAGAAGACATGCAGCTCCTCGTTGCTGGAGCACAAGCACTCTCTGCTTGAACTTTAAAACCTGTACAACAGGCTGAAGTTCGGCTCGTCACCCCCAACACTTTTAATACAACAGTTTTAGGCTGAAGGTTTCATTAAAATCTGCCCAGTGGTTCATGGGATATTTTGCTAACAGACAAACACAATTGTCTTAATGGATAAAAATGCAGGATCAGCGGGCAAATATCCAAAGATCCTAACGGATCAATTGTTCAGTCCAGGTACAAATTCTTCACCGTTTCTCCCGCAGTGTAAGCAGCGTACACAAATCACACACACCCTCTTCTGCAAATGTATTCGTGTGACATTTCAGGAGGCCTGGAGTAGCACACGAGCTCGTCCCTGCCACGGCCCCCCTGGACGCTCGCCGTCCCCCCCATCCCATAAATCATCTGTGATAAAATCAGGGGTCCTGCCGGTTCAGTGGAGCTTCAACTTCAGCCGAGACGTGAAGTGGGTCCTGATGCTGCGGCGGAGCCCTCACCAGAGGTGGAGGCTGTGGTGTGAGCACCACTGCAGCAGACTGCACTGCGGCTCGCTCTGCTCGCTCCTGCCACCTGCTGGTGGTCTGCTCACAGCACGCAGCTCAAACAGCACAGTAAATCCATCTGTAGAGGGAAAAAGTGATTGTTTTTCCCTGTTTCTCCATTTGAGCTCTTCAACTAGGAATAGTGTGAATGTTTATGAAGCATTCACACTATTGTGATCCATTTTTCTTCCATACGTTTTTCGGCATCTTTCTTGTTCCACAATTCTTGTGTTATTTCAGCAAATCATGTATCAAAAATGTTCAGCTCGTTCAGAAGGGTGCTATGACTTTTGGTATTGGTGCAACTTTAGCTTTTTGAAATATTTAGCTTTTTCTGCCACTTTTTTCCTCATAGGAAATGAACTGAGCTCTTTTTACATCCTTCAAAATTTTTACATGTGTTTACAACCTTTCACTGCTCCGTTCATATTTTGTTCTGGTTCAGCTTCTTTCAGCTTCCTTGTGCAAAATAAATAAATAAATAAGCTACTTTCAGCTAATTTCAGCTGTTCTTTCAGCTGTTTTATGCTCCTTTCAGATTCTTTCTGCTAACCTCAACATTTTTATGTTTCTTCTAAATTATTTCTGCTAGTTTCAGCTTTTTCTGCAACTTCAGCTACTATTTAGCAGTTTTATGCTAATTTCAGCACTTTCAGGTAAATCCGCATTTTTTTGCACTCATTTCAACTTTTTTCAGCTTAATTCAGCAAAAGTGTGCTCTCCCACTTCCTTCTGGTAATTTAAACTTCATTCTGCATTTTAAACTACAATTCACCTGTTTGTTTGTTTGTTTGTTTTGTTTTTTCTTCAAATTTCTGCGTTTTTCAGATAATTTGGACTTTTTTGTGCTCACTTCTTTCAGCATAGTTGTGCACAATTGTGCTCTCTCCATTTTCTTCTGGTATTTTATGCTTCTTTCTGCCTTTTCAGCTATTTTTTTTTTTTTGCTAATTTCAGCTTTTTTAGATTCTGTAATTTACTAATTTTTGTAATAATTTCTGCTTATTTAAACCAAATTCAGCAAATATGTGTTCTTTATGCTTTATTCTGCTAACTTGGGCTTGATCTTCTACTTCAGCTACATTTCAGCATGTTTTTAGCAAATTTCAGTTGTTTTCTGCAAGTTCTTCAGCAATAAACATTCACACTGCATTTTAGGATGCATGAGCCTTTAAAGTGCTATTGTTAAAGGGGTAGTTCAGACTTTTTAAAAGTACATTTTCACAAAATGATTTGAAAGAGGATCATTGAAATCCTGCATTTGAACATGCCTGTTTGTTTTGTTCGTGTGTGTTGTCTTAGCTCGAATCTGTCCGATGTCCCCTCCCCACACTCTGTGATGTGTCATGGCTCCGGTGCCGAGCGGAGATTGGAGGTCGGAGATGGAGGCTGCTGCTGGCGGCACGTTGTGGCTGCAGAGTGAGCAGCTGGTCCCAGTCACCTCCCTCAGCGTTCTCGCTGGTTTCCTGCTGGTCTCTGTTTTGCTGCTGCTGTGTGCCAGCTGCAAGGGGTGAGCAGCAACACACACACATATGATTTAATTCAATCCACGTGTTTCCAAGGGAACTTTAATACAACTTGATGATTCAAGACAGCTCAAAGTACTTTATACAGAGATGACTTCATTTAGAAATGCATCAAAAACATAAAATTGGCTCCAGGTTTCAAATAGAAACGAGAAAAATGAGCTCAAGTAAACTTGGATAAGCAGAAGAAAAGAACACAGTGTTTAGTTGTTGTAAAGTTTTGGTTCAGTTCAGTAAACAGGGGCGACTGTGGCTGAGTGGTTAGAGCCGTCATCTTCCAATGCAAGAGTTGGGGTTCAATTCCACCAGCAGTCACATGCTGAAGTGTCCCTGGGCAAGACACTGAACCCCTCATTGCTGATGTGGCACACCGATGTGTGTCCCATCGGTGTATGAATGTGATAAAGCACTGATTAGTCTCTGTACAGATCTAGTAGAGTGCTGTATGAATGGGTAAATGAGGACACAGATTGCAGTGTAAAACACTTTATAAGACACAAAGATGCTGTATAAGTACCGTCCATCCATTTGTCTCTTCCACACATTTTTTTCTCTTCACTCAGCGTTTTTCAACACAAGTCACGTTTATTTGCAGTTCTTTTAGTTATTTTTGGGTAGGATGAACACTAGAATAGGAATTGGCTGCATCATTTTTTAGGTCTTCAAGAGCTTCTTCTTCTTTTGGTTGTTAGCTCTTCAGGATTCGCCACATCAAGTCATCCTTCGCTTTCTCCTTCTACCAGTATGCCCGCTGTCCCTCCCGTGGACACGTCCAAACCATCACAGTCTGGCCTCTCTAACTTTATCTCGCAGTGCTTCAACCTGTGCTGTACCTCTCATAAAGAAACAGCATTTATCTAATAAAATCTTAAGTTAAAGCATCCTTAACTTTACTGAAATGAGATTAAAGAAGCATAACTTTTAGTAATCTGTTTTTTTTTATTTATTTTTTTATGAGGATGCATTGGTTTAACAGTTGATTACATTTAGAGCACCTTACGTTTCAGGAACAACTTGAGAGGTTTAATTTCTTCTCTGATGATTCTTAAACTTGCACTGTGGATGTTGGGCGATGTCTTTTTATATGACGAGAAATTCTCAGAAAGCTCCACTCAGAGTGGAGCTTCAAGTACGTGAAGGGCAAAGACTTGGTATTCCTGGATAGCAACACCCATCAGAAGCTTCTTTAGATTCAGTGTGCTGGACTCACAGTGACGTCCACCTCACACATTTTGCTCTTCATGATCTCCTGTCATTATGTGTCTTTTAATGTTTTTGCTCATTTCTTTCAGGCAGAAAAAATCAACAAATATTTGCCCACTTGGAGACCAAGAAAACTTTGTGAATGGAGTAAGTCGGCAACTAAATGCTTTTTCTTTTTTTTTTTTTTTTTTTGTTAAGAATGGAATAGTGCTAAAATCTGGTCACTGTTAGTAATCCTGATAGTTTGCATATCTCCATTAACCCGCTGATGCTAAAGTGTTTTTAAAAACATGTAGAAAATTAGCCCTTGAATTATTTTTATCATTAAAATTTCAACTTTTCCTTAGAGGGGTGCTTCAAATCTTTTGAAGCGTTCTGTGAAAAACAGTGGTAGATCGCTCTTTGAACCGCCTCGGTTTGAATAAATAGTTTTGATCATATGGGCGACCTGTGTAGGACCAAGACCAAAGTGGATTTTTGCCATAAATATACTAATGGGTTACCATAGTACTTTTCAAAGCATTGATTATATAATCTTCCTCCACTGCAGCTGAAAAGTGGCACCGTGAAGATTTGATTTAAATAAAACAGGCAGCTCTGCAGGTTTCACTGCACTTATCACGCTTTGTTCGATGTAGTGTTTCTTTTCTTTTATGGCTGTTAGCAAAATCAATCGGATGTAATGTGCGCCCACTTGAGGTGCACAAACACTGTGATCAAACGTGTTCGACCAATAATTTCCCATCTACAGAGCGCACACTAAATTTAAAATAAAACACAGTTTTGTACATAAATATAAGGTGTATAAGCTACCAGTGGCCACGTTGTAATACCACAAGTAATACACAGTTCCTGATAGCCTGTGTAGCTCTTGTTGTAGTACAAGAATCAACCACCAGATGGCGTTTCATGGACTTTGGTGCGCTTTCAACACACACAAACTGCGTAATCACAGGTCTTCATGATAACACTCTCTCTGACTCATGGTTAATCTACTGAATAACCTACATCCTACTGAATGAACACAAACTAGACTAAAAAGAAAAGACTACCGGTAATCTCTAAAAAGAACAACGCTAAACATCTACGGTAACCAAACTTGTTAAAAATGAACATACCGGTAAATTTGACCCATAATCCCTACCTGAGGCCATGTGACCGTCAGTCAACCCCAGCAGAATACGTATCGGTAGCATGTACACAATACATTGTTCATTGACATTGTAAATGTTCATTAAATTATTGCCATTGATTTTTATTGTTAAGCACTTTTGGTAACTGCTGTTTTTAAATGTGCTTTATAAATTAATTTGACTTGACTCCTGCTCCGCAGCCAGAGTGACACGAGTCACATGACTCGGCATTCAGTAGGAAGGCAGGAAGCTCGTTGGCCTGTCAAAATAAAATATAAAAGTAAAATTAATAATCCATAAATTAGCCACGGCAATGTCTGAAAAAGTAGAGGCTTATACACCGGCAATTACGGCAATCCTACTATCTACAACAGGTAAGATATTTATTCATCAGCTTGCTTTAACACCTCACTTCTAAAGATCTGAAAGATGGAAGGTGATCAGGGTTTAAAGATCTGACCTCAGACCTTCTCATTTCATAATGACAGCCTGTAAAATGAACACCGTGTCCTTTGAACACAATGTCAGGACAGGGGCGGCCATTACCAACCGCCATAATATCCACACTTCAGGACCCGGGCAGGGTTGACGCTTGACAGATACCCAGCCGAGTGTCGTCCACTCGGTCTCCTACTGTGTCTCTAAACGTGTGTCGCCGTGCGAACATCCAGCAGAGCCTTTTCCTTGTGTTTGATTGATATCTTCATCATCACCCCGCGCTGCAGCGTCACTCGCTGCCTCACCAAGTTGTTCCAAGAGGTGCCCATTTGTATGACGGACCATGTCACAGCCTGACAGGGTAAATGGGGTCTTTGTCTTTGAGCGTGAGCAGATGAGCTCCTTCCTCTCTCATCCGCAGTCCACCCCACCCCACCCCACCCCACCCCCATCTAGGAACTCTGTCCTTCACCTCGTCATCCTCTGACTTAGTTTATTTTAAAGCTCTCTTTATATCGAACAAAATGACCTTTTAATTCAATCCGAGATCAGAATCCGTGAACTCGAGTAGTAACGATGTCGTCTTTTCCAATTACATCATGTAATGTTTATTATGGATATCATGATTAATAAAGACAAAGATGTTTGTCAGCTTATAACGTGATCCGTAGTGCATTAAAACCAAACAATAAGACAGACGCATAAAAAAAAAAAAACACATTGGGGGAATAAAATAGTTAAAAGATTACATCATTGACACTGACAGCTGTGTGACACAATGGCCACTAGGTGGGGATGTTGAGCTTCCGAAACATAATCTTTCATACTGCAGGAAAAACAACCGACATAAACAAAGAACGCCCTGGACAATGTGCACTTTTTGACATATTTTCACATTTTCTGAGCTTCACAAGTTTGTCAAAAACAATCTGTGCACAAATCAGACCTCTGAGCTGAGAGTGCTTGGCATGATCGGTGCACTTTTCACCCATTTTTGTATTTGCAGTTAGGAGCAGAGTTGATTTGAGCTGATTAAACTTTCGTCACATTTTTATTTTTTATTTTAGTTTCTAATCTTTGCATGCTGCTGCCAGCAGTGATCTGCTGCAGAGGGTCTGGGTTTGTAGAGAAAAGCTGGGTAAAATACTTAATTATGCTTAAATTAATTACTCCTTTATGGTCGACATAAATGTATATATGAGTCTACTAATTTAATGTATTCATCTCAGTTAATATGTGCTTCTTTTATTGTTTTATTTATTTATTACTTAGTCAAATTTCAATTCTAGGCATCTGTTTGTAAGACTGCTTTAGTCTTTCTTAGTCTTTTAAAAATTTTATTCCCCCAGAAATGATCTGTTCTTGGTGAATAATTAAAAACATATTTAATTAGGCTTGAATAATAGTAGGATAATGGTTTTAATCAACAGTGAGGCTCAAATACAGTATATTAGGGTAACAAATGTAAAGAAGCAGGGAAGTGTGAAAAACAATGGAATTTGTGGGGTGGGGGGGGGTTGTAATAATTTTCCAGACATGTTGCAGACTGCAGGTCTCGGGTTGCACAGAGGTGTGAAAGTCATCTGGTCTGGATGAGCTGACGAGTGTAGATTGATTCCTGTGCAGCGCTGAAGCGAGCTCTCAACGAGCTGCGACAAACATCTCGTCCTTTGTTGTGCAGGTGTCGGAGAGGGAGACCATCAGCCAATCAGCAGAGAGTCCACTGACCGACGCAGCCGTCAGCACCTCTCACAACGGTCCTCTAACCAGCGGTACAAGTAAGCCGAGACTTTCACATTCAGCTTGGCAACATCTTTGTGGTCCATGATTTCCATCTGGACGTCACTGGTACATACGTGCGTCATACGTACATCTCTAATTTCTTCATGTTTTGCTTTAAAGCAGTCAGATTTTTTTTTATAATCTTTGAATCTGATTTTAATTACTGTGTATTTTAGGCTTTCTGAAGATTTGTTAAAGATTTTTCTTTGGACTTTAGCTACATTTATCTAAATTTGTATTCCGTGTGGGATGAAATTGTGCATTGTTTTATTCTGAAAGGATTAACACTGAGGACAAGTGGAGGACAAAATACGAACAGTCAGGTCAAAGAAAAACTTTGAAAAACCTTAACTCCAGAAGGTCTTTCTAATTTAACCTGTTAATAGAAAGGAACAATTTACAGTAGTCCCTCGTTTATTGCAGGGGGTTACGTCCCCGCCCCCACTCTAATTAATGAAAAGTCACAAAATAGCGACGTTATATTTATTTTAGTATTTATATATATATTAATTCTTTATAAACCCTTCCCACCCTCTTGCAATGTTTTAAACTCTTAAACCTACATTATGTTAACAACATACGTACAGTACTGTATATGTAGCTACTAAAGTTCACTCACTAGCTCGAACAGCATTGTCTCGGTTCCGCTCCAACTTGGTTTAATTTCGGCGGACTTACCCTGCCGGTTCTGGTCGGCTCTCTGGCTCTGGGTGGTGGCGGTGAGCTCCGGATGGAGCGCCAGACCTTCGGTGGCACGCGTCTCCCTTGTAAATCCTCGTGGGCCAGCTACCAGCTCTCAAGATTCACTGTTGGGTCTGGCAGTTCGGTTCTACTCCGGTTTGGTTTGTTCCACGCGGTACTCTGCATCCACTGGGTGCCAAAGTCACTGTAATACGTGTAGAAATTTTTCAGATCAGATCAGAACTTTCTCTCTAGTATTTCAGCAGAAGGAAATGGGGCTTCTGGGTGGGGTACTGTTTGCTACTGGGAAATGTAGTCATTATGAGCGGGGATACCGTGTAGGCTTATTGAGAGAAAACTACAAAATGGCACCGCCTGTCCAAAGTATTTAATTTTTTTCATTAACTTTTTACTGTACAGTATTCAGTACTGTCCCAATCATGTGAGTAATATTAAAGTTCACAATCTTGTGTCATGTACAGTTTTTTTTCCTTGTGTCCAATCTTAATTTGAAAAACCACGATAGAGCGAGTTCGCAAATGTTGAACCGCAAAGTATCGAGGGACTACTACTTTGTATAAGTCAGAAAATAAGCACGTGTGAACTCCTTGATGTGTTCATCCCTCAGTCCTCACAGACACCCAGGACACCAGCCCTCAGCTGTCCGAGGAGGCGCTCTTCACTCATTCAGAGCTCAGGTCCTCCAAGTGTCATCAAGACCGAGAGCTTCCCAGCATCCCTCCCAACTCTGCCCTCACAGAGGACAGACCCCCAGCCTCGGGGGACAACACCTACGAGGTCAGACGTGATGGTTTTACTCAGACTGAACTTGAATGAATTCGATATTTATTTTATATTTGTTGTTTTATTGAAATTATTAAAACTTATAAACGTAGCACCGAAAGTAAGAAAATTTGCGTTTGCTTGACAATTTCTTTGCAGTAACAATGCGTCTTGGCAATGAATCTTATACTGTTGAATAGCCTGCTTATTTCTCCCAAAATGGGGCCACAGTTGTTTGGAAAATGCATGTGTGGGTTGAGCAGTAGAGCTAAGTACCTGGGTTGACCCGTGAAAAACAAATGTTTGTCAACGTCAAACAGCTATCGCCTCTTGTTTGGTAACATTTATTGGATTGCAAGATTAAAATTTAAATAAACAAGAAATATTAATAATTTATCAACTTCTCAAACAGGGCCTCGGTAGCATGTGGAAGAACCATACACAGCCACAACAACCTGGCAACCCCTCCACACATTGCAGCTTGGTCACACACTGCTGTTGGATTGCAGCAGCATTTGCCATGAGCCAGTCAGTGTAGTTGTGTTGGTCAGTCTGGAGCAAAACGCCCGCCCATCCTGATCCCACACTTATTCAGTGGGGTTGGGATGAGGACTGCAGCTAGGCCATTCCATCCTCTCCTTTCCCAACTTCTGGAGGAACTCTCTGATAAACTCTGTTTGGGGCGAGTGTTGTCAACTTGTAGGCTAAAGTCTGGGCCCGGACTGTGATGAAACGGGATTTCACTGGTTGCTCACAGGTGCTGTTAGCACCCGTGGTACCAGAAACTCAAACCAAAAGGCAGCAGTTGTTTGGCATTGGCAGAGAAGATTTGGTAAGTTGTTTATTTTTTATGGGCGCAATCCAAGTACTCAACCCTACTCAACCCACAAATGAAGGTTCCTCACGTACGAGGCACCATTTAATGGGAAATAAAGAGGCGATATAAGATTTATTGCAAAGAAGCAATGTTACAACACATTTTCATACTTTTTGTGCCACGTTAATATCGAATAAACTGGTAAATTGAAAGTATAACAATTTTACCAAACCCAACTATTTCTCTAAAATCCAGATGGTGAAGGATATTGCGGCGGCGTCACGTGACGTCAGCGTCGAGGACTCTCTGTACGAGACCGTCAAGGAGATCAAAGACCCCCCCTCGCAATCACTCCCCAACGGTACCGTCCAGCCGAGCCCCGACGACCCTCAGCCTCCTGTTCTCCTCAACGGCCGCCTCACCCCCTGCACCCCGGAGCGGGGGCCACTGTATCCAGGGGTGGAGTACGCCTCTGTTGACCTGAAAAAGAAGAGCCGTCACAGCGCCGACATGGAGGCCAAACGGCACTCTGAAAACACCGTTACCGCACCCCGCTCACACAAAGGTCTGGAAGAATCGGAGGAGGACCTTCCTCCGCCGGTACCAGAGAAGGTTCTGAATGAAAACGACAACCAGCCAGTGGTGGTGAACGGGCTGGTGGGGGCTGGGCTGCACAATGGAGAGGTGAGGGATGTGCGTTGTCCGTCTCCCACCTGTAGATTTCAATTTAAAAGATTTTCAGACTCAAACCCCCACACACACTTTCATGAAACTGGTTTGAGAAAAAAAAGTTCACGCAGAATAAACAAAAGGAAAGTCTCACACTTATCATCTGCTGGCTGACATCTCAGGGCTTCTTTAGGGAGAACAGCAGACCGAGAGGAGAAATTTGTCTGTGCAGAGGAGGGAGGGGAGAAGAATGAAAATGGGAGCCGGGTTGAGAGAAGCAGGAGATGGTAATAGATGAAATGGAGACGACAAGATGTCACGAGGAAAAAAATGAGAAAAAAAGGCATTGGGAGAGAATGAGTCAAGAGTTAGTGCTGAGAGGTAGATATATATATATACATATACATACATATATATATATATATATATATATATATATATATATATATATATATACACATATACATACTGTATATATATGGGTGAAAGAGTGAGGAAGAGAAGGAGATGCTCTCAGCAGCCTCTCACATTACGACTATCAGAGTTCAGAAACGTTCAGCTTAGGTGAAATATCACAACAGAGCTACTGAAAATACACATCTAAAGTTACGCTTCTGATTTTTATTCCCCCCCCAAAAAAAAAAAAAAACAACCTACAAAAACTGAAAACTTTTATTTCAGTAGAAACTTTGAAGCAGCAACGACGTTTTCAAAGTTTGCAGCTTGTCTGCTTTATTCGTTATTCACTAAGATTTGCTAAAATGTTAATATTTGCAGTAAAGCTCCTTCAAGTAATTCATATTTTCTGATGCTTTTCATGCCAAAGTTTTAAACGAAGCTCTCACACCATCTGTTAGTGCTCAGCGCATGTGTTGGGATGACTTTCAGCTACTTCCACAGCAAGTTTTAGCTCAGCATCTTCAAATTTAAATGAGGGAAAGCCAATTTTGTGTTCACTAAGCTTAACTATCAGTGGCAGCCATTTTGAATTGGATGGACTCCAAAACTTAATCAGTTGTAAATAAACATCCAATGATTAATTTGTAATTTTCTTAAAATATGTTCATGTTATGTTTTGCTGAAATGTAGCTGAAATAGAACAAGCCTAAATTAGAAGAAAGCAGAAAGAACACATATTTTCTGAATTAGGTTTAAATTAACAGAAATGAGCACAAAAATTACGAAATCAGCTAAAAAAGCTGAAACTAGTCTCTCCCCCCACCCCCCACCCAAAAAAAATGCTGAAAAGACTGAAAGAAGCTTAAACTACCAGGAGGAAGTAGAAGGAGCTGAAATGAGTTAAAACAAGTTATTAGTTAAAAAAGCTAAATTTAGCACAAACAGCTAAAAAGTATCTGAGATAGCAGAAAAAAGCTGAAAGAAGTATAATAAGCTGAAATTAGCAGAAATAAGTTAATTAGGCAGAAATTATCAAGAAAAATTTGCATTAATCTGAAAATAGCTGAAATTAGCAAAATAATGCTAACAAACAGTAGCTGAAAAGGTAGAACAAGTGTAAATTAGCAGAAGAAAACAGAACACATTTGCTGAAAGAAGCAGAAATGAGCAGAAAAAAAGTGGAAATTATCTGAAAAATGCTGAAATTAGCAGTAAAACAGCTGAAAAGTAGCTAAAAAGCAGAAAAAAGCTTAAATTACATGAAAGAAGTGGCGAGAGCACATTTTTGCTGAATTAGGATAAAAAAAGTTGAAATGAGTGCAAAAAATGTAGAATTAGCTGAAAAGGTTTAAATAGTAGAAAAAGCTGAGACTTGCAGAAATAATCTGAATGGAGCAGAAAGAAGTTAGAAAAGGCACAGAAATGTCGTAGTTAGCAGAAAAAATATGAATGAGCGCAAAACAGCTGAAAAAAAACCCAGCTGAAAATAGATGAAAATAAGTTTAAATTTTCACAAGGAAGCTGAAAGAAGCTGAACCAGAACAAAATGTGAAAGGAGCAGTAAAAGGTTGTAAACAAATCTAAAGATTTGAAAGATGTAAACTGGGCTTAATTAATTTCCAATGAGGAAAGCACTGGCAGAAAAGGCTAAATATTTCAAAAAGCTAAAGTTGCACCAATACCAAAAGTCATAACACCCTTCTCCTGAAAGAGCTGATAAATGATTTGTTGAAACAGCTTGAAAATGAGACAAGAATTGTGCCGAAAAATGTACAGAAGAAAACTGGATCACAACAGTGTGAATGCTTCATAAACATTCAGACTATTAGACTGTGTGGCTGTTTGGTGTGACCTCTGCTCAGTGGGCTTTGTTCCTGCAGTGAGACAAGTATGTTTACACATCACAACTATTTCTTCATCTAGCAATGATCTTATCTTTGCTAGCAGAAATATTTGAACCGCACGTCGATAACACGTGACTGAAGAAATTGTATTTTCTGTGAAAATAAAAAGACAAATGCAACGTAAACACTGAGGGCTGAATGACTGCTGAAATTTGCTCAAAAAGCTGAAAATTAGTTGTTAAAGCTGAAGCAAAAGCAGAAAAACACATGCTAAAGGTGTAAAATAGCTAAATGCAAGCTAGAATTTGCAAATCACTAAAAATTAAAACAGCCAAAAAGCTGACTAAATGCCAAAAGGAGCAAACCTTTAGCTAAAATGGGTAAAACTCTAGCTTAAGGTAGAAATTTTATTTCTTAAAGCAGCAAAAAGCTAACTAAAAGTAGCAATAATATATCTTAAAGCTCTAAACTTTAAATTAGTAGCTGAAATTAACAAAATACTAGCTTAAAGTAGCAAAACATTAGCATAAAGCTACAAAAAGATACTTAAAAGCTAAAAATAGCAAGTGGTAGTAGAACAAATGAAGTATGATGAAGAAACTTTCAAGAAGAGCGATGCTTTTGAAGAAATTTAAGAAATCTTGATGTATTTTTTAGTAAGAAAGTATAAATATAAATGTTAAATATTGTCAAAAGTATAAACGTTACACAAATCAAAAGTCATAGCAACCATTTCCTGGATGAGCTGGATGTTATTGTAAAAATGGCTAAAATAGCACAAAGTATGCAGAATCAACTAGAGAAATTGCGTTTCATACAAAAATGCAGCAGAAGAACTTGTTGAAAAACAGCTGAAATTAGCTCAAAACATGCTGAACTGGAAGAACAAGCCAAAGTTGGCAGAAGAAAGTAGAAAGAAAATATATTTGCTGAATTTGGGTTAAATAAGTAGAAATGAGCACAAAAAAGACTTAAATAGCTAAAAACTGAAATGAGCAAAACCTAGCTGAAAACTAGCTGAAAAGTCAGAAAGAAGCCTAAATTACCAGAAGAAAGTGGAGAGAGCACAACTGTGCTCAAATAGGCTGAAAGAAACAGAAATTAGTACAAAAAGTGAAAGATATCTTAAAAAAAAAAAAAAAAAA